CTCCTAAGGTGGTATATGGTGTGCCCCCAAACTTTCAGGAGGTTCTCCGCTTTCGGAACAAAAAGTTATTTAACTTCAAATCAATGCTTTATTTATATCATATAAAAAATTAATTAATTTTTACAAACCATTGTCTTTTTCTTATCGAAAGGCATGCCATCGATGAGAGATTCATTCATACGGAGAAAAAATAATATAATAAACATAAACGCGACCAATGAATACACTTTCACTTCTTTTATAATGTGTTTCAATGAATTTCTCTCATCTCTGGTAAAGTCTTGGCCGACAATCTTCACCGACTCCTCGATATAAGACTCAATGAATGCTGTGATACTGTCGTCGTCGGCAAATTCAATAAAGGGTTTTCCAAATTCTTTGCCCCATTCGACAAATATTGTCCCAAAATCAAAGCCCCGGTAATCATTGCACGAGTACTCAAAATCACACAAAACTATACCATCCGTTTCGGTGACCATAATGTTAGAGCCCCTGAAGTCGACGTGAGTGAACATCACCGGAGAATCTGTTTCGACGATCAACTTCTTGAGCCACTCTAACTCTGTGTTCAAGTCGTGTGTCTTCAATGTCTCACAATTGCATTCTTCGTAAAGGGTTTGCAAATCAAACCGTGAGTTCGCTTCGGAGTAATAGTCGGAGAAATAGTTTGGAATCCAATTCGAGAACTTCTTTATGGGAACCGATGTTGAGTGAAGTCGAGCCAACTTTTGTGCCAATTCTTGGACCAGTTTTGGGTCCTTTTGTTCATTACTTCGGAAACATCTGTGCTATAAGTGATTCAGTTTATAGATTAGTTAATGAGTTTATAATTATGGTGGTTAACTACATATTTTTATGTATTACAGTATAGAAATTTACTACTAATTTACTTACTTTGTAATACTTCTGAATTTGTCCGCTTTCAAAGAGTCCGTATATTTTGGGTCCCAAACCCTTCTCAGACATTAATTGCCCGATTATTACATCCGTTAGCCTATCATTGCCGCCATTATCTGAATGATTGAAATGTTTGTCCTGATACAAGCGAATGGCCACTTCTTGTGGCACATTGTTGTCATCGTTGGTTCGTTTGTCTTCATTGAGAGCGCAATAGTATAACTGATTAGTGAGACCACCGCTCAGTCGCTTCACTTCGATGTCATCGATAGTGACATTAAGCCAAACGCCTCCCAAATAGTCGCGACATAATTGAAAGCATTTGTCTTGTATAGAGTCGGGCGTTGAGCCCCTCTCCAGCTTCACGTTTGCAAAATCGATGCTTTCATTGGTATTATTTTTGTTATTATTTATATCACTCATTGTGTATTTTGAGTAAAACTATAGCAAAACTACTAACAAGTTATTTAATAATAATAAAATTAATGTATTATTCACTTATATACTGTTTGTAAAGCTTAATTGTAAGATAGTTTTAATCATATGATTGTATTAAAACAGTACTTGAATTATAATTTTATGTACAGTAAGTTTTTTATATAATCTAATAATTTAGTTATTATTGATAAATATGAATTGCATAAGATGAAACGCGACATTAAATATTTAATTAAAATACTAAAGTACAATATACAGTATACGTATTTTATATGGTAAATTTAGTACATCGGGAACAGTTGGTATTTTGACTTATCAAAATAACTTTTATACCATTTATGGAATTGTTTTTCTAGCTATTCATTTAATACTGTATAAAAGTAAAGTATATAAAGTAATACTTTATATAACTTAAATGTTTTTACATAATATGTATTTTTAAATTGTTGTTAAGGTATCTGAATCATCATAGTAAGTCATCAAGTGCATTTAGTACATCTGTGTCGCGTGATGATTAAATAATTTAGTCTTTTGGGTACTTTTGAGTTAATATTTTGCAAATGAATAAATGAATTTAAAAAATTCCATAATTTAAAAGTAATGTTTATATACAGTATAATCATTTAAATCAATTTCATTAATGAATAAAATCTAAAAATTGTTACAAATTGTCAATCGTTTGTTCATTAAATTAGTTGTATTATAATAATATTGTAAACATTTTATTGTAATCGACAAATAAATACTATTGAAAATTTATTTTACAATAATTACTAAACACATTTCACCTATGGTAACTTTATTCATTTATTTTTACAGTAACAATGCACTTCTGCTGTTCTAATAAAATATAATAAAGTTTCAAAAAAATTAGACAATACTTAAAATTAAAATTAAAAGATTACAATTTATTAAAATAATGAAATTGTTAATTACTTTCTTTAATATAATATAATTGATTGCTTTAGTAGTTATAAAATGTATAGTAATCAGTTAAATATATTGTCCTTGATGAATTTTGTTTTGTGATTAATGTACTCCTTATAAATATTTTCGGGGGTCGCCTGAAAAGAAAGAAAACATATAATTATAATATTAATTTTAAATATACTTTATGTTATGTTTTAATTAAATTTTACAAACCATTGATTTTTTCTTATCGAAAGGCATGTCTGAAATAATAGCGTTATCCATACGAAGAGTAAACAATATAATAAACATATACGCGACTAATGAAAACACTTTCACTTCTTTCATAATATGTTTCAATGAATTTCTCTCATCTCTGGCAAAGTCTTGGCCGACAATATTCACCGACTCCTCGATATAGGACTCAATAAAGGGTATGATATTGTGATCGTCAGTAAATGTACCATGATGTTTGCCAAAAGTATTGCCCCATTCAGCAAATATTGTCCCAAAATCAAAGCCCCGGTAATCATTGCACGAGTACTCAAAGTCACACAAAACTATACCATCCGTTTCGGTGACCATAATGTTAGAGCCCCTGAAGTCGACGTGAGTGAACATCACCGGAGAATCTGTTTCGACGATCAACTTCTTGAGCCACTCTAACTCTGTGTTCAAGTCGTGTGTCTTCAATGTCTCACAATTACATTCTTCGTAAAGTGTTTTCAAATCAAACCGTGAGTTCGCTTCGGAGTAAAAGTTGTGGAAATAATTTAAAATCCAATTCGAGAACTTCTTTATGGGAACCGAAGTTGAGTGAACTCGAGCCAACTTTTGTGCCAATTCTTGGACTAGGTTTGGGTCATTTTGTTGGTCCACTCGAAAACATGTGTGCTATGAGTGATTTAATTTATAGATTTATAGAATTAGATAATGAGTTAGTAATTCATGCATTTATTAATAAATAATTGTAAAATAAATTTGATTACTTTGTAATACTTCTGGATTTGTCCGCTTTCGAAGAGACCGTATATTTTGGGTCCCAAACCCTTGTCAGACATTATTTGTGCGATTATCACATCAGTTAGTCTCTCATTCCCACCCGTTTCTGAACCACTAAAATGTTTGTCCTGATACAAGCGAATGGCCACTTCTTGTGGCACATTGCTGTCATCGTTGGTTCGTTTGTCTTCATTGACTGCACAATAGTATAACTGATTAGTGAGACCACCGCTCAGTCGCGTCACTTCGATGTCATGGATAGTGACATTAAGCCAAACGCCTCCCAAATAGTCGCGACATAATTGAAAGCATTTGTCTTGTATAGAGTCGGGCGTTGAGCCCCTCTCCAGCTTTAGGTTTGAGAAATCGATGCCTTCGTTAGTATTATTTTCGTTATTATTTTTGTCACTCATTGTGTGTTTTGCGTAAAGGTTTTAACAAATCTATACGTTATTTAATTATAGATTTATGAAGCAAGTTTGTATAACAAGTTATTTAATTATAATAAAACAATTGTCGTTTTATTCGTTTATGAATACTATAAAATTATTTATATAAAAATCATATGATTGTAAAGAAAAAGTTGGGCTCATAAACTCTAATCTATTAAATAATCTTTTAATTACTATTGATAAATATTAACAGCAAAACTGTAGAGAAAGGAAATTTAGTAATAAACAAATTTATATTTCATTGGAATCTTCAGAAATGATTATTAAATGTTTTGATTTATACATAAAATTAAACGTAGTATTGCAATTGCAATATAATCTACACTACAAAGATAAAATATCCAAGTTTATATTTACACATTCTTTTTTTAATATAACAACAAACTGCTGCATTATAATTAGTGTTAAATTTAATGAAATGTGCATATGTATTTTATATTTAATCGGCATTTCATTGATTTTTATATATTATTTATTTATTGAAAAGTCTATTATAAATTGATAGTCAACTATTGTAAAAGTCTTGATAAATATATTTTGTATTAACTAAAATATAAGTAAATTATTTGAAATAATACTGAATTAGTTTACATAAGAATCCGACCTCTAATAACTGCTATGGTGCTATAAAACACGACATAAAATATTTGATTTTCATAATTAAAGCATTCAATAATAAACTTAAGTACATTAGGAATAAACTTATATACAGTGGATCTTTATACTATTTATCTTTATATATTTTCTAAATTGTTATTAAGCAGAGTTGCCAGTATTGTTGTTATCACCAAGCGCTATTACCAGAAAGTGTGTATTAAATCTATATATTTGAGATAATTAAAGTCCAATTAGAGCCCGCTTAAAAATTTTTAATTTTTTATAAAACTAATTCTTTTTATTTTAATATTAATATTAGTAAAAACATATGATTAGTAATTGAATTGATTTTAACAAAATGTATTAAAATAATATAAAATGCATTACATAGTTTTTAAATGTATTGAAACAATTAAATGTCTAAATGTTAACTCATCATGTTAACATTACCCTATTTTGTCTTAATACTATTGAAGTTCATATTAATTAATTAAATGCATTATCCTTGATGAATTTGTTTTTATATTTAATATACTTCTTATAAATGTTTTCAGTGGTCACCTTAAAAATAAAAGATAATTGTTTATAATATTAATTTTAAATATTAATTAAGTTTTACAAACCATTGATTTTTTCTTATTAAAAGGCTTTTTGGAAATTAATGTTTTATCCATACAAAGCGTAAACAATAGGGAAAACATATACGCGGCTAATGAAAACACTTTCACTTCTTTCATAATATGTTTCAATGAATTTCTCTCATCTCTGGCAAAGTCTTGGCCGACAATCTTCACCGACTCCTCGATATAGGACTCAATGAATGGTATAATATTGTTGTCATCGGTAAACCCTCCGACACCCCACTCATAACCGACGTCCCACTCCGTAAATAGTGTGCCAAAATCAAAGCCCCGGTAATCATTGCACGAGTACTCAAAATCACACAAAACTATACCATCCGTTTCGGTGACCATAATGTTAGAGCCCCTGAGATCGACGTGAGTAAACATCACCGGAGAATCAGTTTCGACGATCAACTTCTTGAGCCACTCTAACTCTGTGTCCAAGTCGTGTGTCTTAAATGTCTCACAATTGCATTCTTCGTAAAGTGTTTGCAATTCAAACCGTGAGTTCGCTTCGGAGTAATACTCGTCGAAATAGTTTGGAATCCAATTCGAGAACTTCTTTATGGGAACCGATGTTGAGTGAAGTCGAGCCAACTTTTGTGCTAATTCTCGGACCAGTTTTGGGTTCTTTTGTTCGTCTACTCGGAAACTTCTGTGCTATTAATTTGTTTTTCAATATTAGTCATTTATTTATTATGTTTTATTTTAAAAAAATATTACTTTGTAATACTTGAGGATTTGTCCGCTTGCAAAGAGTCCATATATTTTGGGTCCCAAACCCTTGTCAGACATTGACTGTGCAATAATCACATCCGTTAGTCTCTCGATGCCATTAATATCTGAATGATTGAAATGTTTGTTCTGATACAATAGAATTGCCACTTCTTGGGGCACATTATCATTAATAGTTCTCTTGTCTTCATTGACAGCGCAATAGTATAACTGATTAGTGAGACCACCGCTCAGTCGCTTCACTTCGATGTCACCGACGGTTACGTTAAGCCAAACGCCTCCCAAATATTCACGACATAATAGAAAACAACTGTCTTGTATAGAGTCGGGCGTTGAGCCCCTCTGCAGCTTAAAAATTGCGGAATCGCATGAAAGTTGTCGGATAAGGCTTTTAGTATTAATTTTAACACTCATTGTGTTCAGCTAATTGTTGTAACAAAACTAACGGAAAGTTATTTTATACAATGAAATAAACGTCGTTTTATACATTTATGAGTGCAATAAAAGTAATAATTTGTTGTTAAGTTCTTTAGTATATTCAAGGCAATTAAATAATATAATCTTTTTCGTCATTTTGGTCTAAATATTTCCAAAATAATTAAAATAGTTTCTAAATGTAATTATCATTATATAACTACAAATTATATATAAAGTTGTAAAGATATAAGTATATTTTAACTCGAATTATAATTTATGTTTCATCTAAATTATATTTGTAATAAATTTCTCTTTTAAACCATAAACACAAAAACTGCCGACAAATACACACTCAATAATGTGTACACTTTCACAGAATATACAGAATTCACAGAATAGATTAAATGTGTGCCATAACTGATCATTCAAAATGGACACTATCTAAGTCCCACTCTATACAACACATACATGCAGTCACGTGCAGATTAAAAATGTACAATTTAGTATAAATTAGGCTTCATACTAATTGTGTGATTTTAATTAATAAAATTAATTATTTACTTATGTATGAAAGGACTAATTCTTGTTAATAATTTAATTAAATAAATATTCAAACAATTCGCTGAAACAAAATACAGATTAAACAATTTAAAGTAATTTTTATAATTAATCAAATGAAAGATATACATTATTTGACCAATATTTATTTCACGTCTCACGGTGTAGGCAATGGTATAAGGATTGCACACGCTGCCATACATGCGCCCTGAATTTTGCTACACTCAGCCAAGACCGCTGCCGCGCCTACCACCGTATACGTACCTGGGATATTTTAATTTATAATCATTAAACACTTAATCAAATTATGTAGATATGATTGTTTTATAAATACCGGCTACACCACCGCCGATCGAGCAGCACAATACCCAACCAGCGTTACATGCGGTCTGACAGGCGCCATAAGTAAAGGGTCCCGCAGTCGACTCGTGCACCAATAATCCCACCATTATAATTAATAGTAAATTTGACCACATAGTGAAACACACCCTGACACAATTATATTTGGTATAATTAGTAAGATCTAAGACTTAGATTCTAAGTGCTATACGGTAAACTTAAATAAATATACAACACTATTTCTACTATTGTTGGTTTTACGGAATTGCGAAATTTACTGCAGTGATGTAGCTAAACAATACACATTTTAATTTTATTACTATTTACCTTTATTGTAAACCAAATAAACACGAAAGTTTAACTGTGTATAACAATTTCTACTTTATTATGACAAAATGGGTTACTTCAATTAATAGTTACTATTAAATAAGGTACCAGCAATATGGACTTTTTGAGTTTTCAAATATATCGTATTACATATAAATAACTTGTATTAAATTATTTTTATAAAAATTTACAGTAATATAGTTAAAATGAATCATTGCTCTATTATTTCTTCTTTTAATTTGAAATAATTTTTGTAAATCACTTCGAGTGGTTTCTATGAAAAACAAAATTAATTATTAAAGCATTTAATTAATAAAAATTTAATACAAACCATTGTTTTCTTCTTATCAAAAGGGTTTCCAATAATATGTGATTCATTGAGTTTTAGTAAATGTAATACAAGAAACATTATGGACACCAATGAGAAAACTTTTGTCTCTTTCAAAATGTGTTGAAATGTATTTCGTGTATCGTTTGTAAACTTTTCCTCAAATATATCGATCGACTCCTCGATATAGGACTCAATAAACGGACGGATAGTGTTATCGTCGGGAAACTCAACGTAAGCCATATATTCGCCACATTTTCGGCCCCATTCGGCAAATAGTGCCCCCAAATCAAAGCCCCGGCAGCCATAACAGACGTACTCAAAGTCACAGATGACTATACCATCAGTTTCTGTGATCATAATATTAGATCCTCTAAAGTCTAAGTGAGTAAAAGTCACCGGAGAATCGGTTTTGATAATCAAGTCTTTCATCCACTCTAACTCTTGTTTCAAATCATGTGTTTTCAATGTTTCACAATTGCATTCATCGATAAGAGCGTTGATATCAAACAGTTTGTATGCCTTGTTATACGAATCGTCAAAATATTTAAAAATCCAATTCTCAGTCTTTTTTATGGGGACAACAGTTAAGTGAATTTTTGCCAACTTTTGGGCCAATTCTTGGACCAGAATTGGATTCTTTTGATCATTCAATTCAAACCATTTGTGCTTTAATTTAATGAAGAACATGCTGTTATTGTATAATTTAAGTAAATAATTAAAATATATATAGATTAATTACCTTATAATATTTCATTATCTGACCATGCTCAAACAATCCATACACTTTGGGTCCCAAACCATTTTCAAACATAATCGTAGAAATAATAGTGTCGTTAAATCTTTCATTTTCTGAATTATTAAAATGCTTTTCTTGATATAATCTAATGAGAACTTCTTGTGGTTTATCTTCGCTGCTGTCGTTTCTCTGGCGTTCATTGAGAGCGCAATAATAGGACTGATTAGTGAGACCACCGCTCAGACGCTTCACTTCGATGTCATCGACGGTTACGTTAAGCCAAACGCCTCCCAAATAGTCGCGACATAAATCATAACATTTCTCTTTAATACTCGGAGGCGTCGAACCCCTCAATATAATATTGCTATTATTTCTATCACCGATTTTAGTCATTTTTATAATTAAGTTTTAGAATTAATATTTAAAATATAATTTATAATAGACTATTTATAAATAAATATTAAAATAATAGCATAGCAAAATAATATAAAAACAACTCTTTACATAAGTGGCAAATTATTATTACACCTCTTAAAGTGCACTAAATTGTCGTTATTGTAACTATAATTTATCTTTAAGTACGGTTTCATATCTGTTGAGTACAACGTTTAGTGCATTTTACTCTATACACAAAACCAATTGTCATATTTTAGACAATATTTATTATAAGAAAATGTATTCTAATAAATCAAAAGTATGATAATTAATCAACACTGTTTTATTAAATAAATCATATACAGTAAATGTGTAATTAAATGCAATAAATATTTAATATTTTATTAAATATGCAATTTTAAAAAAATAATTTAAAATAAATTGCAATAATCTAAAATCTTTTAAATTGACTTTAATTAGTTATGTGTAATTAATTTCTATATTAATTAGAAATAGTCAAATGTTTCTTTATAATTAGCCAATCTATTGATATTTAACAAATTTAATACGAGAAATTGTGGATTTAATAAATGGCATTATCGGTAAAGTCGTCAATGGGTTTTGCCGAATGTAAAATAAATGTTTTATTATTTATTTGAAAATACTACAAAATTAATGATCTGCAGATAATTAGTATAATTTAGTATTTCTACAAATACTGTATATATTCATTGTAATTCATATGTTAAATATGATATTTATTATAAGATATTTATTAATTAAAAATTTACAATAAAACAATTGAAATAAATCATAACTTTGATCCGGCATTCCTTACTTAAACAATTTTTCTCATTATTTCTTCTTTTAATTTAAAGTAATTTTTGTACATCACTTCGAGTGGTGTCTGGAAATGAATTAATTATTACAACAACTTATAAATCAATATTTAATACAAACCATTGTTTCCTTTTTATCAAACGGTTTGCCAATAATATGTGATTCATTGAGTTTTAATACATGCAATATAAGAAACATTATGAATACCAATGAGAAAATTTTTATCTCTTTCAAAATGTGTGAAAATGTATTTCGTGTATCGTTTGTAAACTTTTCGCCCACTATTTTCGTCGACTCTTTAATATAGAACTCAATAAACGGACGGATAGTGTTGTCGTCGGGAAACTCAACGTAAGTCATAAAATCGCCCCATTTTCGGCCCCATTCGCCAAATAGTGACCCAAAATCAAAGCCTCGGCAGCCATAGCATCCGTACTCAAAGTCACAGATGACTATACCATCAGTTTCTGTGATCATAACATTACATCCTCTAAAGTCTAAGTGACTGAAAGTCATCGGAGAATCTGTTTTGATAATCAAGTCTTTCATCCACTCTAACTCTTGCTTCAAATCATGTGTTTTCAATGTCTTGCAATTGCATTCATTGATGAGAGCGTTGATATCAAACAGTTTGTACGCCTTGTTATACGAGTCGTCAAAATACTTAAAAATCCAATTCTCGGTCTTTTTTATGGGAACAACAGTTGAGTGAATTCTCGCCAACTTTTGGGCCAATTCTTGGATCAGAATTGGATTCTTTTGATCATTCATTTCAAACCATTTGTGCTTTTATTTGATGAAAAACACTCATTAAGTTTTGAATCATGTAATTAATTAAAAATAATTACCTTATAGTACTTCATAATCTGACCATGCTCAAACAAACCATATACTTTAGGTCCCAAACCATTCTCAGACATAATCGTAGAAATAATAGTGTCATTAAATCTCTCATTATTTGAATTATTAAAACGTTTTTCTTGATATAATCTAATGAGAACTTCTTGTGGTATATCTTCGCTGATGTCGTGTCTCTTGTCTTCATTGAGAGCGCAATAATAGGACTGATTAGTGAGACCACCGCTCAGACGCTTCACTTCGATGTCATCGACGGTTACGTTAAGCCAAACGCCTCCCAAATAGTCACGACATAAATCATAACATTTCTCTTTAATACTCGGAGGCGTCGAACCCCTTAACATCATTTCGTTATTATTTCTGTCAGCAATTTTAGCCGTCATATCTATAATAAAGTTGTAGAATTGATTTAATCAATTTATAGTAATAATTAATTACTACTAATAATAATTAATACTAATTGTTAAATTTGCAAATAATTATAAAATGTAAGTTTAGTTTTTTAGTTAAGACAACTCTTTATATAAGAGGCAAAATATTAAAAAACCATTTACTTTTACATTCAATTGAAATCATAACTATTTCTTTATAAATTATAATTATCATTAATTTTTTGTTAACTTAACTTTGTGTTTTTAAACTAAATGTGCAATGTAATTATTATGCCTACAGTTCTTTATCTTTGGGTACAGTTGCTTATCTGTTGAGTAATACTTTGAATGCACTGCACTGTACCCGAGTATACAGAGTGTGTCCATTAACTGCCAAAACCAATGGTAACTTTGTAGACAAGAAAGATGCTAAAACATAATCAACCATGTTTTTCGGTAAACATAGATACACATCTGGTTTGTATAGAAGTTTGATACAGTATCGCAGCATTTATACAAGTACTGTACATACAGGGTGGGCGGAAAGTATGTCTTATTTTAAAAAGCTAATAACTCGTAAACTACAAGAGATATTTTAATCAAATTTTTTGCAAAAAATGCACAAA